CCGTCTTCAGCCATTATAAGGTGTAGATAACTTCCATGTCATTATGGTGCAGGCAAGTTCCATGTTATCATGATGTAGACAAGTTCCATGTTATCATGGTGTAGACATCTTCCATGTAAACAACAATCAAGCTAAAGTCTGCCAGCTGAAGATTTGTAGCACTTCAACAATCAAACTCTAGTCCAGTCAACTGAAGATTTGTAGCACTTCAACAATCAAACTCTAGTCCAGTCAACTGAACATTTGTAGTACTTCAACAATCAAGCTCTAGTCCAGTTAACTGAAGATTTGTAGCACTTCAACAATCAAGCTCTAGTCCAGTTAACTGAAGATTTGTAGCACTTCAGCAATCAAACTCTAGTCCAGTCAACTGAAGTTTTGTAGCACTTCAACAATCAAACTCTAGTCCAGTCAACTGAAGATTTGTAGCACTTCAACAATCATTAATGTGATTCTTCATTTATTTACTTTTTTCAGGGAATGATGCTTTAAGTGTTATGCTAAGGATGTGTTTCTTTTCAAAGCATGTGTTATCTGTTATGATAAGTGTTATATATTTTGTCAAGAGTATGATGTTTTAACTGTCACAGTGAATAATTACTAAACATTCAAGTTCTAAGATTGTATATTTGCCTGAAATTTTATTTTATAAGTTTATAACACAAAACATATCTGTAGTTTTATTTTATAAGTTTATAACACAAAACATATCTGTAGTTTAACAATAAGATTTCTGGTGAATAAATTATAACTAATGAAAAATCAGTTGTAACTAAGAGTACACAATGAATGTAAAATAGAAATTAACTTTTTTGTTCTACAATCATCATAATTACAGTTTTTCAACAAGCCAAGTACATTTCAAATAAGGAACTTTACAAGACAAATAAATAACCAACAATTTGTTAATATTTCTTAAAATTAAACAGAATAGTAGTTAATTTCTGTGAATTATAATAATTAATAACCTGAGACATCTGTAACACAGACAATTCTAATATATTTCATTAGGGACAACAGTCTAATTCAGTCTCTCTTGCATATGCTTAACACTGTTAGAAAATTTAACAGCAACATCCCAGTTTATCTATTCAACATTTGTCTATGGAATAGTCAGTGGTCCTGTGGAGTAGAAAGTTGTTAAACATTGTTAAAAGGGGGAGGGCAACAGTAGCCAATTGTGACACTGTCTCCAGCACAAGGACCTGCACAGACTGACAGCAGATGAGTGTCATTGCCTCCTCTAAACAACAGAAATTACAGTTATTTAAATTCCACAACCACCACAAGACTGGTCTCTCTCTAAAACATAGGTTTTTTTTTAAATATTGGGGTGGGGTTAAGGCAAAAGATGTATTGCCTCTTATCAAAAATTACTAGAAGGTAGGTTCCCCTTTCTACTCCACTGTGACCATTTTTAAAGCACTTTAAAAATATGGTTGTGTCTATACAGGTTTGTAGAAGTATAATAACTAAATCATTAGGTTTGTCATTACACAATAAGAAACAGTTAACAGTTTCTATTGAATGTGTATCTCATTAAATAGAACAACCCACTTAGCCTGAAAGATTAGCAGAAATAGGAAAGAGACCTTCTGCCTCTGTTGTCATTTGAGATGAATGTTGAATGACGTGCATCGGCTTCATAAGTTTATCACACAAAGAAGCAGGAAAGAGACCTTCTTTCTCTGTTGTCGTTCAAGATGAATGTTAAACAACATGAATTGGCTTCATGATCTTATCACACAAAAAAAAGAGACCTTCTTTCTCTGTTGTTGTTCAAGATGAATGCTAAGCAACATACATCAGCTTTATGAGCTAATTACATAAAGAAGCAGGAAAGAGACCTTTTTCCTCTGTTGTGATTCGATATAAATGTTGAAAGATGTACATTGGCTTCACAAGGAAGCATCTTAACAATTATTAAGTTAATATTTTGTGTTATTAAACTTTTTTCATATTACTACAAATTCATTTTATTATACAGTAAACGAGATGGAGTAAAATGTTGCATGTGATTAAATTTCTTTGGCATGAGGTTTTCTCGACCTAACTTTGCTGATTCTGAGCAATATACATGCAAATATACAAGTCTAACAATATATCAACTTTGCAAAATTTATATTTCTTGGAAGCAGCAGTTGGTAATTTGTAAGTTTTGAAGTTCTTCTATTCTGAACATGGCACTCACTGCTGTGAAGCTGAAATAACTAACTGCTTCAATACCAACTTGGCACTTCTGGTCACTTCTCACACAAGACGATCCCCTTGCATATTGTTAGGGACTGACACAGAGTAGTTTGGATGTCTAGAGGCCTATATTGAGGAGGAAGTTAAGAATCATCAAATGATTCAGGTTGTCTTATGATAAACAGTGGTAAATCTAGTTCTATATGCAACAAATAAAGAAACATCAAATGATTCAGGTTGTCTTATGATAAACAGTGGTAAATCTAGTTCTATATGCAACAAATAAAGAATCATCAAATGATCCAGGTTGTCTTATGATAAACAGTGGTAAATCTAGTTCTATATGCAGCAAATAAAGAATCATCAAATGATTCAGGTTGTCTTATG